GCTGCCCTTGGACCAAAGGGTTTCAGGGTCTCAGAATCTTCGCCGTTGTTGAGTATTAAGATCACTTTGAAGGGTTTCAGCTTGCGCAGTTGTTTTTAGACCCCACAGGGTGTGCGCTTCCAACTATTCTAAACGAGGTAGGAGACAGCTCTCTTCCCTGTATCCTCAGACATGATCAATTAATGCATCTCATGCATCTGGACACAGCACTAAGCAGCACCTGGCTACTTCTGACTCTAGACTACATTCTGCACTGTTGCCAAGAACACCCACTTACTGGTGTCCCCCTGCATACTGGTTAAACCTGGAACTCGGCCTTGAACCACCAAAAGCCATCAAGTTACTTACTCCCTTGGATGGTTTCCAATTTACATTTGGGACAAGATCCAAAATCCTTCCTCTGGCTCCGAAATTCTGTATGTGTCTCCTTTTCTTCTCTCTTTTTTAATCCTCACCCCAAGGACATTTTTGCATTTATGTTCAGATAGAGCAGGAGGGAGAAAGGGAGGAAGAGAGAGAGAAACATCGATGTGAGAGAGACACATCCGGTGGCTGCCACCCACTCGAGGGGAGACAAACTGCAACCGAGGTCCGTGCCCTCAGCAGGAACCGAATACAGGACTCTCTGGTCTCTAACTGCTGAGCCAAACCGGCCAGGGCGTATGAATCTCCTTTTCAACTCTCCCTCCTTGCGCCATGCAGTCCCCTGCCCAACCCCCTTCCACCCTACCTGCCCCGGGGCCCCTTTCAAGTCCACAAAGTGTGGGCCTCCCACTGTCGTTCTTTTCTGAGCACCCGTCCCTCAATCCTGCACAGACTTTGGGTCTTGACAGGTTAGGGCCCCTTACGTGCCCTCATGACAGTGCCTAGACCACGCTGTTCAAGCCTGTTGGGCAATTTATGTGAGAGAAATGGTGCCATGGTCCTCCCTCCCCAACGCCGAATTACAAATTTCGTGGATCCTGAGCACTCTGTCTTCGTGGACCATCTCCTCATTACGAATAATAATAATAATAATAATAAATAAATTAAATAATAGATTTCACGGGCCCTAAAATGTCACTTTTTTTTTTTCTGACGTGAAAAAGGAAATGAAAACATTTTCCTTGGTCCTTGCACGGTTTTCTTCTGGCTTGACAAGAAGTTAGAACGTTTTCGTGGGCCCCTCAAAATGTCGCGGGTCGTCGTCGCGGCGCCCACGGTGGCCAGTGCCCAGGCTCGGGAGAGCCCTCCCGGGACACAGGGTGTCTGCCTGTCTTCCCCTCAGACACCTGGGCCAGGGCGCAGCGGCACCCGCGGCGGAGCTCGGCCTCCGGGCGTCCGTCCTGCCAACCCCGCGTGCCCGCGGGCGCGAGCTGGCCGCACCCAGCCTCGGAGGTGGCTTCCCCTGGTTCCCTCCTGAGGCCCTCCTTAGCCTTCTCCAGCCCTGCGGTGCGGGGAAGCGCGGGTGCTCGCTTCCTTTCTGCGGGAAGGCGAAGACCCCATTACCTGGCGCTTCGGCTCCCTGTGCGCCTGCGCAGCGGAGGGCGCCCCCTCAGGCCGGCGGCGCAGGGCGGGCGGCTCGCCCCGGGTCGCCTCAGCGGCCGCCTCAGGCTGCGCCTCAGGGCACAGCCCGTCCTCGGCCCTTGGAGAGTTTGGCATCTCCGTGGAGAATATTACGCTAAACCGGGCGCTTTCTCGCCAGCTGCCCCCACGAAACATTCCAGTGGCACTTCCATCGTGTTCTTGGCTTCAACCAACCTCTCTTCAACATCGCTCATTCATTCTTTGATTCAATACCTATTTGCTGGGGCACACTAGGTGCCAGGCCTCGGGCTAGGACGGGGGGCCGTGGACACACGCACAGTGGTCCCTGCTCCCGGGAAGTGTAGCCTTCCTTCAGGAAGCTCTCCGAAGTTTCCTCAGGCCGCCACAGATCTGCAGGGGCCCGCCCCGCGCTCCCCAGGCCCGTCTCCACTACCTGCTGTTGATTCCTGGAGTCCGCCGACGAAGTCCAGCGGGGCGGGAGTGCCTGGCGCTCAGCAGTGGCCGGCTCTGGGCCTCCGCCGCACCCGGGTAGATGGGGCTTCTCCCTGGATTAGCCCACACGGGACAGGGGAAGAGAGTGCTGGCACCAAACCGGAAACAGCAAGCATTTCCCGTTGTTCCCTGTTTGTTGGTGCCCCCTCCCAGAGCGCTGCCTGCCAGCAGGTGGGGAGGGGGCCGTCCGTCTACCAAGAGGAAAAGAGTCAGCCGCCTAGTTCGAGTCCCAACCACTCGCTTTTGTTCTTCTCAACTCATCTCGGAGTAGAACCAGAAACGTGTCACCCATGTGTCCCAGGTGTAGGCAGCCGATGTCCAATAGACGGCGTGCTCCCATATAAAGGTTGGCTTCTCAACAGGTTTTCTTTTCCACATAGTCCAAATTCGTCGTCCAGTTTCTAATCTTCAGGCTGTCCTTTACAGTGATAGAATTATCCTTGTAAATATATATATAAATATATATGTATATATATATACATATATATGTATATATATGTACACACACACACACACACACACACACACACATTTGGTCATGCCATTCTTTGGCTTAAAAACTGTGTTTCCTTCTTGGTTGCAAGATCCATTATAACGGACTCCGCTTCCCTTATCAGGCTCAACTACAACAATATCTTTACTGAGCTCCAAACCGGGACACCCATTGCTCCCACCTACAATACATTTCTTTTAGTACTTTATGCTGTTTCATCCATCTGGAGTAGCATAGATTGAAAAATGTGCCAAGGACTGTGCCAGACTTGGGTGACTATGACATGATTTCCTGAAGAACCCATTTAACTCTGAGGGTGACAAACTGGTATTGCTGAGAAAGTGCCTTGCAGACTTTCAACTACAAGAAGGGTAATTGACCAAAGAGCATCAGCTGCTACCTTAGAATCCATGGCCATGGTTGCATGGAGCCCACACTTTCCACAGGTGATGACTGAGTGTAGTGGGGATACTAAGGCAGCCTTGATATTGGGAGGCACAGGACTCCTCCCATGGACAACTGTGGCTCAGTGATTCCTCAACACCCTTGATAAATTCTCACAGTCTAGGATGCTTCCTTCCCTCTCTTCTTCACTCTGTGCCAGACTTGTATCACATCTGACTTCTCTCACAGCCTCTCCTGGCTCCTTCCCCACTTTCTCTTAGAGGTGATTCCCCTAAATAAAATCCTTATATATTTAATTTCATCTTGGTGTCTGCTTCTTGGAGGACCCAGACTAACATATAAATATTTGAATAAATAATTCCAGATAATGTAATAGGCACTAATAAAGGTATTAAACAGCCCTGGCTGGTTTGGCTCAGCAGTTAGAGTGTTGGCCCATGGACCAGAGTCCTGGGTGCTGTTCCCGCTAAGGGCATGTACCTCGGTTGTAGTTTGTCCTCGGCCCTGGTTGGGGTCCTGTAGGTGGCAACCACTTGATGTGTCTCTCATGGATGTTTCTCTCTCTCTCTTCCTCCCTCTCTCCTGCTGTATTTAAAGATAAATGCAAAAATGTCCTTGAGTGAGGATAAAAACAAAAGGTATTAAACAAACATTCGCCAAGTATTTACTGACTACTGTAATGCCAGGCACCATGCTTGGCTCTGAGAATACAATCACTTCTGCCCTCCTGGGGCTTAAAGTCTATGGAGAGCAGACAAGAACTTAGGCAATAGAAATGTGGTGTGATATGTGCTACATCAGGGGTAGAACAAAGTTATGGGAGCTCACAGGGAAGCATAGATTTGAAGAACTGGGCATGCTTCTTGGAGAAAGGGATTATCATTCTGTGCTGAATCAGTAGACTGAATAGGAGTTAACCAAGCAAGGGGTACGGAGAGCATTCCATGCAGAGGGAATTCCGGGGGAATGAACAAACTCACCAGTCCAGAAGATTAGTATGTGAAAGAGGTAGTCAAGGGACCAGAATGTGTAAGGTCTTGTGGACTACATTAAGGATTTTGGATTTAATCTCATAGCAAAGGTAGGGTGGGAAGCTGGACTGAAGTGTTTTAAGCAGAAGAACAATGTGATCTGATTAATGTACTGGACAGAACATTTTATCTGCCCTAAGAAGAATAGATTAGGGACTGAAGTTGGGGTGGTGGTGGCTGGGGATGGAGAAAAGACTGGAGTAGGAAGTAATCCAGGCAAGAGATGATGGTAGCTTGAATTAGGGTATTGATAGGGGGATGAAGAGATGTGGTGGAGACATTAATAGGTGTTGGTGATTGATTGGATTGATGAGAATGATTTCAGAATGACAGAACCTTGAGCACAGTAGGCATTTAATGAATATTTACTGAATAAACAAAAGTGAAGTTTACTGTTTGGGCAGCTGGAAAGATAGTGGTGCTATACACAGAGATTAAAAAAAACCACATTGGTTCTACCATGTACCCAGTTACCCAGGCTGGTGCGGGGGTGAAGATGACAGTTCAGTTTTGGATATGTTGAAATCAAATTGCCTGTGGGACACAGAGTGATGTTCAATAGGCAGTTGAATGTATGTGTCAGAACCTGAAGAGAGAAATATTGCCTGCAGATGTAGATTTAGAAAGAGATAGTAATTAAACTGGTATAAATGAGATTGCTTAGGGCAGTGATTTATTCTTCAAAGTGGGAATCTCAACCCATTAATAGGTAGTAGAAGCAATTTAGTGAGCTGTAACCAGCATTTAAAAAAATGAAATAGCATAACATGCAATACAATAGAAAATATCAGGGTTTAGCTCCCGAATTAAAGATAATAGGAAATATGACTTTGTGAAAAGTTTACTTGGGGTCTTGACACCTCCAGCCCAATTTGGAAGAAGATCTCCCACGTACACCTGGGTCTAACTCCGCCTCCACCTGGGTTGGGCACCTTATCTCCTGAGTCCTGCGCTCCACTCAACCCCGATTGGCTGGAGGAGAAAATCAGCCCTGCCATTGGTCCCCTCCTAATGGGGCGGAGCCGAATTGCGTTTTGTCTGCCAACTACAGGCCGAGTCTGGCCGAGAAGAAACGAGTAGGACCGAGGCCCCGGGCTCCGCGGCCCTGAGCAGAAGCGGTAGGGTGCGCCCCACCCGGCGGCCAGGCGGAGCCAAAGATGCCGGCCTCAGCTGCGCGGCCCCGCCCGGGGCCCGGGCCGCCTCCCGGTTCGCACTTCCCGCTGCTGCTGTTGGTGGTGCTGAGCGGCCCCGTGTCCGGTCGTGTTCCCCGTTCAGTGCCCAGGACCTCGCTTCCCATCTCCGGTAAGGCGCGGGCACCCTCGCCCCATGCCCTTTGCGCCGCGCCCAGGCCCCGCCCGCAGGTGCCTACACCCACTTGCCCTCCTGACCCGGGCAGCCGCACCCTGGGCCCCTCCGCGTGGCGCACTATTCCCGCGCTACCCACCGCTACCCACCCCTTCCCGAATCCAGGCGGGACGCCCACGCGGTGCTGCTCCGCGGCATCCCCGGCCGGGGCCTCGCGTCTCGGCTCCCCTGACACGCCCAGGTGGCTCCCCCGGCCCCTTATTCAGAACCGACACTGAGGCCCGGAGAGGGGATGGGAGTTGCCCGAGGTCATTCATTTCGAAGTTCACTCTCCCTTGTTACCGTCTTAACAGACAGGCACCTGTGTCGGTCACGCCAGTTTGACGCCCATCCTGTTTCCAAACCCAGAGACCGTTCGTTCCACTCCAACCACCCATTCTTCTGATTACCAGCTCAGCATTTTCATATTCCCACGTCTCACATTCATTTCTCATATTATCAGTTCTATACCCCCACCCGCCTTTGCCCTGCTCACAGCTCTAATCTTCCCTAAGCCACTTCCCAGTCCTCTCACATCTCTGACACAAATTCCCCTTCTCTCATTATCCGATCCATCATAACCCTAACTTCCTAACGTTGCCTACTTCCTCTACCCATTCCCTATATTGAATGTTGGGAAACCATTCAGTGAGTTGACTTAAAATTTTGTTTAAATGATTTTGAAAGTCTTCAGAGAGAGAAAAAAAGGAGGGAGATATGCCTTCAGAAGATGTGCAAGAAGCCAGAGGATGCCAGAATGTTAAAAGTGGTAATTGGAGTGATTCACAATTTAAAGGCTCTCTGTTGAGGTGGGCATTAAGTGTTAGCATTTTGGGCAGACAGAATCAGTGAAGCTGAGAGTGCAGCCTGTTGGCAAAAATTCACCACTGGGTGATATTAATTTAGGGTCTAAACTTCAGACTAGTGACATATAGGGGTGTTTTGAATCCAGAGAACAAAGTTGTGGTCTGAGCCTGGGCTTTCAGTTTGTGCTGGAGCAATAACCACTATGTAGATAGAGTTCAGGTTTCTAGGCTGGGTTGATGTCCAGGAATCCAGAGAGGTGTAGAGAGCAAGGTGAAGCAGAGCTGGGATACAAAAGGAGGTTGGGGGAACCAGGGCTTTTCCTAAGCACGAGAGATACAGCACAGTCATGGATATGGGTGTGGGAAGATGGGTGGGGCTCCATACATCAGCAAGTCTAGGAATGAATGGCTGCTGGCCATTCTGTTAGTCTTGAGGGTAGCTGAGCAGATGAAGCAGGCAGAACAGAGTTGTATTGGTGCAGGGATGGGATCCCCAGAGCCAGACGTTGAGCTAAGGAGGTATGCTAACTTATTTGTTATAATCTTTAAATAGATAAGACTTTTGAATGCTGATGCGAGATTTAGATTTGGCCAAAAACAGAGCTCATACTTAAGGAAAGAAGAAAAGAACCTTTTGTGAAACGTGTAGTTTGTGTCAGGTGCTTCCACATAGGTTATCTCATTTAATTCTCTCAACAACCCTGGATGGTGGTATTTACAGAGGAGGACAGTGATGTGCAGAGAGGGCAAGTAACTTACTCAAGAGCATATAGCTGGTAAGTGAAAGAGCCAGATTTAACCTCAGGCTGATCCATTTCCAAAGCATATACTCTTGCCTACTACACTCACTTCCTTGGATGGAATGGGGATTGCGGGAGGTCAAGGGCTGTGGGAGAGAAAGGAGAGAGTCTAATGTGTTAGTGAAAAGAGTGAAGCATTTCCCTTCTAGGTAAAACGTTATTAACTAGTGATTTTAAAAACAGGGAAATTTACAGAGGAAAGTACTTGTACTTTCTATAGATGTTTTCAAATTGTGTGTCATGTTGCCATGAATAGAAAATACAGACTTAATATTTATGCTGTTCTTTTAATAAAGTGTTCTACTTTTATAGAAAAAGCATACTTGATTCGATTGTGTGCTAAATATTTTGGCCTCATTGGTTATTTATCTCTGGGAAAGTTAGATGGCCTGTCACGCTCTTTCTCCCCACCCTGATGGCCGCTAAATAAATGGTACTTGGAAGAAAACAAAAATTGGCCCCTTTGGCTTTGCCATTGTGGACCTAACCCTTATGAAACAATGGCTAATACCACTCTTCCCTCTCACCCTCTCTTTCTGCCAGAGGCTGACTCGTATCTCACCCGGTTCACCGTCCCTCAGACATACAATTACTCTGTTCTCCTTGTGGATCCTGCTTTCCATACACTTTATGTTGGCGCCCGGGACACCATCTTCGCTTTATCTCTGCCTTTCTCAGGGGAGAGACCCCGCAGGGTGAGAGATGAGAGTGCGGAGGACCCCAGAGCATGTGATTAAATCTATGGTTGTATGAGATGTGAGGGGGGTTGTTGTGGTAGCAGGGGAAGTGTTGGTGAAAATGAACAAGGGGAGGCCATCAATTACATTATTTCTGCTGGGGGTGATTGGGGGGGGTATGGAGACTGGGGAGGCTGTGAGGGAGGTTCATGATGGTGGGAGAAGGCCACAGTGACCAGGTTTTAGGTGACAGGCAAAGAATCATTAGAATCACATTACTCACAATAGCTTTCAAACTTTTTGACCACCCCTTAGTAAGAAATATATGGTACATTTTGACCCAGTACATGAAGTGGGTACTGAAAGAAAACTTTTCTAACCAATATCTACTCTCCTATATGTGATGCTTTCTGATATATTTTGTTAAAAATAGTATTGGTCATGATTTCACAATTGATTTTGTTACTCATTAATAGGTGGAGCCCTCCAGTTTTAAAAACAGTGCTCTGGGGTGGGGGGTGTCTCTGAAGTTCCCAAATTGATGGAGGTTGTGGAACTGTGTTACCTACCCTGACTTGGGAGGAGTTGGGGGAGAATCTGGGGAAAACAGTCATTTCTCCTTTCTCAGATTGACTGGATGGTGCCTGAGGCCCACAGACAGAACTGTAGGAAGAAAGGCAAGAAGGAGGTAGGTGTAAATCTGGGCCCTGTTCTGAGTGTCAATGAGACCTTGGCCCAACCCTGACTCTTGAATCAGTCCCCCGCAGTGCTGCCATCCCATGGGTCCACGCAGGGAACCTAACACCGTATCATTTCCCATCATTTCTGATCCCAGAGCTGCATCTAACTGGCCTGACACTACCCTAGCTTTCCTTGTACCTGCTGCTTCTGATTGTCTCTAACCATCTCTGACCCCCAGGACGAATGTCACAATTTTGTCCAGATTCTCGCCATTGCCAATGCCTCTCACCTCCTCACTTGTGGCACCTTCGCTTTTGATCCGAAGTGCGGGGTTATTGTGAGTGACAGGGGTGGGAGGATGGGAAGGGTCTTCTGTGAGTGACCATAATGGGGGGGGGGGCATGCTTAAGGCAACCCTTGTGCATGATAAGCATTGGGGGTGAGAGATGTTCTCACAGGGTGGAGCCTTTGTCTGCCACTGGAGGAGGGTGTGAAGGGGTGGGGAGGGAGGTTGTCTGTAGAAGGTAAGTTATACCAAGTCTCAAGAGAGACATAATGGGATGGTAAAGGAAGTTAGGGATGCTAGCTGGGTTGGGGAGAGGAGAAATCCAGGAGAGACTTCAGAGCTAGTAATTCATGTTTCCCTTGTCCTTTGTATGCTTTGTCCAGGCAGCCTGGGTCCATTTCTTAATCAGCACAGTCCATGCCGATTTCTTCCTCCCATGGCATATGACTCTCACCACTTTCTTCCACCTCCACTGCCAGCCTCGTTCTATGTGGGCTGTGACCTTCTGCTCTCATGAGCTTCTGAGGTTACTGCCCAATAATGTAGCACCTGCTGGCCATACTCTAGATCTTGCCTTTAAGGTGACCACTCTGTCAACCATGTTTTCTTCTAGGTCCTGTTCATTGCTGCTGAAGCCCTGGCATTTCTATTCTCACACCCAGGCAGGCTTGGGACTTCTGTACCCCTAATCACATCTAGGCTAGTCACAGTGACAAAAGTTCCCAGGACTGGTGACATCTCAGGAAGGGTCTTAATGTTTTTGAACCCTCATCTTTTCATCTTTTCCATCAGTTATCCAGTAGTCAGTCACTGGTCCTCAGGTAGTACACATCTGTGACAAGGCCCTGGGTTGAATTGAAGACCTCACAGGTCCTTCACATCCAGTGGCTTCCTTTCCTGCTCCATAGAGCAATAGGAGGGAGTGCAATGCCTCCTTTTCCTGACCCTGATCTTACCTGTCGATCTTGACTTGACCCTTCTACATTCTTCAGTGATCCTTGACACTTGGACCTAGTCAGTGTGTCCCTCCAAACCTCTCTCTGTTAAAGACTATCCTCAGATCTCTGGCTTAGAATGCCATAATTGTATATATTTGATATACAGCCAGTTCTTCTGGACTGCCCTGGGACTTAGTTGGGCTTATGCTGTGCCCTTTTCATAATGTGGATGATAGACTCCCTGCTGGTTGTGGATAGATCCCTCATCCTGGGAAGGTTTCCTATTGTCAGGATGGTATTGAGAATCTCTATATTCTATCAGGAAATACTGAGTATCTAGTTTCCCTATAGTCCTCACAAAGCTCAAAGTAGCAGAACTGTCATCACCATATTTATCCTTTTTTAGTCTGTACGGACTCGGGGAGCCCATGGTTTGAATATCAACCATGGCTTATAGACAGTAGACTTACTCCAAGTTAATCTCCCAGGGTCTTCTATTCTTCCTCAGCTCTCTGAGGTGGGACTCTAATGGTTGTTATGTATCTAGGAAGAAAATGTTCTGGACATAACTGTCAGGATTGGCATGACTTGGATCCCTGTCCCCTCTCAAGGAACATCAGCACCAAGAGCAAAGCCAGGTGTCTGTGTTCTGCACTCCCGTGACTTTCAGCTCTTTTTTTTTAATGAATTCTACTTTCTAGCAGGCTCATGAAATGAAGGACTATCCTTTGATCAAGGTTTGTTTGTAGGAGAATATAGGGCACAGAAAGATCAGCTGTGTTAACCCTTCAAGCCACATATCTAGATTGCCCTCTAGCCTTCTGAGTTCTCTCCTCTGCCTTTCCCTGCCTGTGTTACCCTGCTATATGGCAATGTCCATTCCTGGAGCAAGTTCTTGCCTTATCCTTAGTGCTGAAACTCTCATGTCTCAGACTGATGACTTTGAGACTATTTATAACTGTTTTCTGAGAGCTTTGACTAGCTAGCTGCTCCAGACACAACAAATTGCTCAGAGTTGCTTGCTCAGAAAAATGAAGTTTCTTACAAAAGGAAATTCGAGCACTGGACCTATCAGTTCCAACAGTGTGTAATGCTGCCCTTCAGTGACAGCTGATATAGGAGGAGAATGTTTTAATTTGTTTTGTTGAGGGAACTCCAGCAGTTAAAAGAGAAAAATTTTCAACTTACAATGAAAACAAGACTTCATATTCAATTAAGTTATCTATACTCTGTCCCAGGCTCGGTGCTGGGTGCTTTATATCCATGACTGAGTTAAATTCTCATCACCCCATCATAATGTTTAGGTATTATTTCTTTCCATTTTATAGGCAATGCAACCAAAGTTCAGAAAATTTAGGTGCCATGTCTAATGTTATATATCTAGCAGAGGCAGAACCAAATTCAAACCCAGGTTTGTCTGGCTCTGCTCCACTACCCTGACTCTCTAGTCCAACCTGCAGCACAGAAGGCCTTATCTGGCTCCAACTTCTTGTGACATTTGATCTGTTTCATGTAACTACCTGGGAAAGGTCCTTGGCCAAGACGGAAGGATGGATTCAAACTGCACAGCTCAGTGAGAGCCTTCCTACCTAGCTCTGGCGTTCAGCTTGAGGGACTTGCCTTCACTACAACCGATGTGCTGATAGGCACAATGAAGAATCTCAGCATTCAGAGAGAGAGTGTAGTAGAGTGGTCTTGCCCCTTCAGACCGTATTAAGTATCACTTTGTTCTTATGGGAATCATAACCTGTTTAGGTAATAGGAGGCTCACTTGCTCAAAGGCTACAAACCTAGATAACATGATTCTATTTGGGGAACCTACAAGAATACTAGTTTTGACATGGTGAGATTTAAGGGGCTGATAGGCCATCTCTGTGAGGAAGTTCAGCAGTCAAGGCAAACGTGGACTAGAGTTGGAAGACTTCAGACTTGGAGAGTTTGGGGAATGATTTGCGTAGATCTGGCTGGCAGTATAAGAATAAATGAGATCTTTAAAGTATATGTGAAAAGGACTAACAATAGATTTTTAGGATTCATAGCCAGGGTAGAAAGAAGAGAAACAACCAAAGGAGATAGAGAAACAACAATTATATAGAAAGGTGCAGTTCGAAGAAAGTCAAGAAATAGAGTATTTCAAGGAGGGAAGTAAGTCAAAAATAGCAAAAGGTAACTAAAGATTAAAGAGAATGAGAGAAAAAGGCTCATCTTTTCAGTCCTTGTAAGGGAGTAGTTTCAGGAATAGAGATGGGAAAACATAGTTTGTTTTCTAGGAATAACAGGTGATCTAGATTTGGTTAGAAGAAATAATTCATTTTAAGAAGTAGTAGAGAATAAGTAATTTGGGCTCAAGAGTTTCTACTCCAGGCAATGGTGAGCCATTTTGTCATCTTGCTCAAAAATTTATCAAGGCAGTGACTGATAGTCTAGGAATATTATTTGAGGGTGGATATGTAGAATACATTGGGGACCAGGCTAGGCAGTGTGGCAGAAAGGGGGTTACTTCATAGTTGAGGTGAGAGGGGCCACAGCAGCAGGTTTTAACCCTGTTCCAAGGTGCCCAAACACCATGGTAATCTCTCACTGAACACTCATCTTTCTCCTCGGGCTAGGATGCTCCCACTGCCCGCTGTTCAGTCCTCCATTCCAGAAAACTCTTTGACCTAGTGTTTCCTTTTGGGGTACCTCAGATCTCATTGGATTTTAATAGGCCCCTTTCAAGACTTTCTCCATAAAATAAAACCTTGTTTGCCAATTACCGCAAATAGACAGGCAGTCAGAATGGGCCAGTAGTGTACTTATGCTCAGAGGACATATGTCTACATTGCTACTCCAACCACCATCTAAGTTATTAGGCTCCAGCAACACTATATGTCCACACTAGTTTGTGAGTCAGAGATATGCCTGGCACTTGGATGCCACAGCTTCGCTTTCTAGCCAGTCACAGCTAACATTCCCTGTAAGTCCTAAAGTAACCTCTGGCTGGCTCATACCTTTTACCCCCTCCCAGGTCACTCCTTCTAGAGTCCCTGGATGAGGAGGGCATTTAGCAAATCCTCAAATTCCGACCTAAGGGCCTTCATTGACTTTTTGGATTCTCTTCTTCCTTCTGTGTATCCTTAACTCTGGTCCTGTCTTTCATTCTTGGGAGTAGGAAGAGGATGGCCCTTCTGTTTAGACCTCTGGGCTTCAGATGGTCCTATATCCGTCTCTACTTTTCTTTACCCTTCCTAAGAGCTTCAGACCTCAGGAGGCCTGCTGTCTTCCCTGGTCCTCCTTGTTCTGTAGCACATTCTCCAGCCAGTTGTAAACCCTACAATTCAGTAGCATTTCAGAGGAAAGATCTGCCTGTCAGCCTCTCTGTGTCGTCTAGGGCCATCTTATGTGTCCCTTCATCAGAGCATGTGTCGTTGGGTACTAGGGGAATTAAAGGAAGAGGAATAAACTGATGAAAGAGGGATGGCAGAGATGGGAAATGCAGGAATGGGCGGGGGAATCAGAAGTGATAGACTGGGACTATGGGGATGGTAGCATATGGGAACTGGGCTTTTCTTTCATCTGACCATCTTTGTAATTTTCATTATGAACCTCCCCATGACCCCTAAACCAATTGCCCCCTTCTGGTCTGTAGGCCGTGTCCAGTTTCCAGCAGGTTGAAAGAATTGAGAGTGGCCGGGGGAAATGTCCTTTTGAGCCAGCTCAGCGGTCAGCAGCTGTAATGGCTGGTGAGTGGGAGAGACAAGAACTTGTGACTTCTTGCTATAATTGCTTCCTTTCCCACCCTTGCTGTTGGAATTTCTGTGTCCTTTCTTTCCTTTCCTAGGAATGTCTATTATTCCCATGTCTCTTTCTAGCCTTTCCTATTCTTCCCAGCGTGCCTGTGTCCCGCCTTTCTCCAGAGTACTATTTCCCTGGGTTCTCCCTAGAGAATGTGTTCTCTGCACCTCTGGTGTGAGTGTTTCTTCTGTGAACCTCATTTTCTTTTCTCCTTTTTTTCTCTTCTGTTTATAAGAGGAATCTGCTACAATGCATATTGTAATACACTTGGAAAAAGTACAAGAACATATGAATTCTTCCAGAACAGCACTGTTCAAAAGAACTTTGTATGGTGATGGAAATGTTCTGTATCTTCGATGTCCAATGAGGTAGCCACTAGCTACATGTTGCTATTGAACCCTTGAGATATAACCAGAGTGACTGAAGGAAAGAATTTTAAATTGTATTTAATTTCATTTTGAATGTAAATAGTCACATGTGTGTAGTGGCTACTATGTTAGCACAGGTCTAGACTATCCCTACTCAGAAAACCACTATTAATATTTTAGGATATTTCCTGCTAGCCTTTGTAATGTACGTGTATACACATAGACACTCATGCACATATCTTGCTGGCCAGCCTTTTGTTGCTCAGAGTCAGTAATGAGTATTCAATAAGTTCCTGCTGTTACTTCCTTTTATTTATTTTTTTGGTACATGCCCCTAGCGGGAACCAAACCTGGGACTCTCTGGTCCGCAGGCCGATGCTCCAACCGCTGAGCCAAATGGGCCAGGGCTGCTGTTACTTCCTTTGAACAAGCCATGTACAGTTGCTCAAGTGTTGAATAGTTCTTTCACAGCTTATGTCTAAACCTTTTCTGGAGAGTGACTGCTTAATTCTTTGGTAGCCACAAAATGAATTGTTTGTTTGCCACACAGCCTGTATTTTAGGTTAGAGGACTCCACATGCCCCCTCCAAATTCAGTAAGAATCCAGCCATTTTTTCATGATAGTGTAAAACAAGAGGTTAGTAGAAATTTTATGACTGTGTTTATATTATAAAACATGTAAATGTCATGCTACATGGGTATGCGTTTGGATTTTGTCATGTAACTTTATATCATAGACATTTCTGTATAATTTAAAAATTAGTTGTAAATAGAATTTTTAATGACATCATGCTACTACTCATCCTGTGAACATACAGTAATTTAATTAAACAATTCCAAATCATTTATATAAATTAATTTTATTTAGTTTACTTCCAAGTTTTTGCTATTATCCATTAACACTGTAATGAACATTTTTGTGTATAATTTTTTATCCTTACTTTAGATTGTCTCCTTAAGATTTCTGGAAATAGATTACTATTCAAAGGGCGTGAACATTTTATGGCTCATTATCTTTTGCTAATAGGATTTTTAGAAACAGTGTACCAATTTACACCCTAAATCAGCAGTAAATGAGAGGTTTTTTTTTTTCTCACATAAATGTCACCAACCTGTATTGTTGTCATTTTTACAGATCTTTGAGCCCTGGCCAGTGTGGCTCAGTTGGTTGGGTGTTGTCCTGTACACCAGCAGGTTGCCGACTGGATTCCCAGTCAAGGGCACATGCCCAGGCTGCAGGCTCAATCCCCTGTGGGGGGTGTGCGATGGATGCTACAATCACATCCATGTTTCTCTGTCTCCCTCTCCCTTTCTCTCTCTCTAAAAATCAAAAAACTATTCTTATTTAAAAAAAAAAAGGTCTTTGAGGCTAAAAATAGTAACTTGTTTTAATTTGTATTTCTTTGAGTGTTAGTGAAGTTGAACCTCTTTCAAGTTTTAGTGCTATTTTTATTTCTCCTCTGATAAGTCCTTTGCTTATGTTCTTGGGCCAATTATCAAGTAGGATATTAGCATTTCAATATTCATCTTTTCTTTTTTAATTATATTTTTTAAGCTAAGTTCTTCTTCAGCTAGGGAGCAGCTAAACGTTTTTTTTTTTCTTAAAAATTTCCCCCAAACATTTAACACTTTGATTTATTCAGAACTTATTTTGATGAATGACATAAGATGTAAATTAATTTTTCCCAACTAGCTAATCAGTTGACTCAGCATCATTCATCACACTGTTTTATTCTTTCTTCACTGATTTTCGCTGTGAACTTTGTTATAAAATCTTCACCTATACTTTTGGATAATATTTTATGAAAAACAAAAATTGGAATATAAGATCTAACAATGAAATTTTTTTCTTATACATGACTTCCTAGGAAAAGCTGTAAAAGCTATACAAATTAAATAACTTTTAGTCAGATAATTAATAACTTACCTTTTCATTTGGAGCTTTCAGTGTTGATCCATTATGCCCTGCTCTGTTTTGAAAATAGCGGTATAGAAAATAGTGCCAGCATTAGGTAAGAACTGGAACAAAAAGTCCTAGTTAGGAGATATTAAAATGTCCTTAAAGATAACAGATATATTTTGAAATTAAAAGAGGTTTAGTAATGAAAATATTAGAATATAATATTTATTGATAGGATATAAAATAATATATTTTAAATTATAAAAATTACAATGTGCATTGTAGAAAATTGAGAAAATGTAGAAATGTTAAAGAAGAAAGTGAAAGGTTTATTTGCAGCTCAATCATTACCAGGTAAATACTATTATTATTTTCTTCTGTGTTTGTGTGTGTGTGTGTGTGTGTGTGTATTTATAATAAATTGGATTTATTATGCGTATTCCACTTAGTATTGTATACTATTTTCATGTCATATAAATTATTCAAAACATGATTTTATAGTGATTATATACTATTTCATCATATAAATATGGCACAATTTAGTTATTCTCATAAAATTATACATTCAGATTTTTTAAATATTGCTTTTATGAATACTGTAGAAGAATTCTTTTTACATAAATTCTTTAAATAAATGTCATTAATTGCATATGATCAATCCAAAGAGTAGACCTGCTCGGCCAAAGGGTGTAAAGATTTTCATGGTACTTGGTTGATTTGTCTAAGTTTCTCTCCATTTAGTTCCCCCAACAGTGGTGAGAGGGCCTGTTTCATTGCATCCTTGTCAGTCCCAAGTAATATACGTAATAAAACATACAAACAGTGACCTTCTCCAAAGTCCAATTTGATGTATTTTTTATTTGCATCTTTATTCGTGATACTGAACAACTTTTCATTTGTTTTTTTGATACCTGTATTTCTTTTGGGAAAAACCTCCGAAATCTCGTCTTCAAATATGACATTTATCTGTACTGCACTTAGATAAAATTAACAAAATGATCTCACTGTCTCTATTTGTACTGTTCAGATTCAGGAATATTGTCAAAGACTTTGACAATATTCATGTTAGCCTAGAAACATCAGTGGTTCCTTCCATCTCCTTTGTAGGATCTTTGTCTTCTGCTCATCTTTAAGTGTTGGGGTTCCTTAGACTTCCACCCAAGATGCTCTTCTCTTTTTGTTCTATGTGGTTGTGATCTCAGCCAGTCCTATGGATTCCATTTTCACTGCATTCTGATGCCTCCCAGGCATTATCTGGAGCTACAGACCACCCATCCAACTGCCTTCCAGACATCTCCACTTGGAGGTCCCACAGGAATCTCAAAATCAGCATGTCCCAAACTGAGCTCATTATTTTCACTCAACTTCCCCAAACCTGCTCCTCCACCAGTGTCCCCTCCTCTGAGTGCATACCCAACCCAGGTACCTGAACTAGAGATAGCAGTTAGTCATCTCTGGTCCTTCCTATAACATCCTATTTTTAGTAACAATCTATAGAAATGACCCTGAAAGTACAGTCTTTATCACATCCTATTTTTAAAAATAGGTCTTTTATCAAGAAGAGCAGGGAGAGGGCTCCTTTGCTTTTTCTCTTTGGGAACCTGTCCTGGGTTTTCATCGTCTCCTTTTGGTCTGATTGCATTTTGCGGTTACTGCATCTGCTGGGAGCACTGCAGACATTCCAGATGCACTGGGTGCTGCCAGCATTTTGGGTTCAAGCCTACTTCTTACATCCAGGTGTGTCTGCCCCAAGATGAGTATTCATACACTGAAACAAGATAGTTATACAGCCAACAGAGGAAAAGGTAGATACTGTATCTTTATCTATCTAATTATGTCCTAATAGAAGGCCATGTTGTTTTTAAAGAAATGTATCTAGCTGGCCCAATCCTTAAGTAAGGAAATGGAGACTATTAGCCTAGCAGCTATTAGCCCTGAAAAGAAGATAAGGGAGTGGAAGAAGGAAGGCCAGGGTATGTTTAAAATCATCTTTTAAAAGCAAATGAATGATAATTCTATTGTAAATCTTTAAAGGTGAGCATTTTGATAAGAAAGTGAAAATTTGAAATCACAGAGTAGTGAAATATTCATTTCCATGACAGTTCCCTAGCCTTTCAGTGTTGGGTTCTAACATATCAGGAGCCTGTGCTCACTCACAGGCTTTACATCTGGGCAGGTAGAGATTGACTTCCACAAATAATTGTGATTCTTCATCTTTTGCATCTTTCAATTTTGGGGGGTTACTTTTTTTTGTATTGCCAAAATGAAAATATCTTATTTTTTTTTGGTTATAAAATTAAGGTACTACCTACAAAAACCAGTGAATACAAAAAGTATATAGGAGAAAATGAGAATCACTTGTAATTTCATTAGTTAAAAACAAACATCATTAACACTGTAGAGATATAGTTCCTTCAACAATCTTTTCTGTTTGCAGACATGTGTACATATCTTTAAAAACTGTGTTGAATTGTACCTAGTGTTTTGTTCTAACCAGCTTGTTTACTGAACTCAACACTGTAGGCTTCTTTCTCTTTTGTGCATCACCTTTTGCCAGTAGCAAATGTATATTTTAATGTCTACTGATTATAATTCACCCAAAATTGCATGTGCAGGGATATTTTATTATATGGACAGTGCAACAGAATACTGGGAAATGAGACTGTCCTGGAGAATCTAGGTCATGTAGTGATCCTGTGTCCTGTAGATTCTTGCCTTCATTAATTGATGGCTGCTGTTCCTTCTGTGTGTGTGTGTGTGTGTGTGTGTGTGTGTGTGTGTGTGTGTGTGTAAGACTGTTGCAAGTCCCTTGGTACTCCTGGGATACTTGGAACCCTACTACTTCCTCCCAAAGTGTCTGATCCCTATGCAGTCCCTTAGTGTCAGTGACCCGATGCTATCCCATCCTGAGTGTGCTCCTCAGCACTTCTAGGCTCCAGAGTTACTGAATGCCCTCAATGATCCCTTAGAAAGTATTAAAACCCTTTACCTGCATCTACCACTAGGTCCTTGCATGGTTAATGGAGGTTCTTTACTGTTTGCAGAATACTTATGATTGTCTCCTTACTCACACACATACCAAATCATGCTCCCAATATATTTATGACTATCTCCACCACATTTCCCCCCATTCTCAGGGTAGCCATGAGTGTCTTGTGTACAATACTCTTAGGGAAAATTTTTTCCAACTTTGGCTTCTTTATTTTTTCCTCCCCCCTTGGAAATTCAGAGGACTGGCTCATTTGCTGCTCCATTTGCTACCAGGACCTGTGCCCCAAACCTGGTTTTCTTCCTCCTGAAACCACAGCAAGGAAATGGATACCGTTTTATAGTGCACCCATCTCTGGCAACAATTCAGGCACATGGCCCTTTGAGAATTCATAAGGAGCTGTGACCATCATGTATTGAATACCAGCCATGGGCCAGGCCCTACCTGGGGCTCTGTGTTTATCTCATTTAAGCCTCAGTGCTGCTCTGAGGAACCTGAGGCTTATGAAGGTTAACTTGCCCAAGATCATACTACCAGTAAGTTTTCAGGGTTCAAACCCAAGCCTTCCTGGCTCTAACACACTTGGATTTTTATCACAAACACCATCACAAGTGGTAATATAGTCTCCCATCCACTCCCCACCCCACAAGGAGGTTTCTAACCCTTCACTATTCCCTCTGAGGGCTCCTGACCCTGTTTTGCTCTGCATAACATGTTTTTGTTTTCAAAATCCTCACCTGAGGATATTTTCTCCATTGATTTTCAGATAGTGTGGGAGAGAAGGAGGGAGGGAGGGAGAGAGGGAAGGAGAGAGAAAGAGAGAGAGAGAGAGAGAGAAAGAGAAAGAGAAAGAGAAAGAAACATTGATGTGAGAGAGACACTGATTATTTGCCTTCCTCATGAACCTGAACCACAACCAGTGTATGTGCTCTTGACTGGAATTGAACCTGCAACTTTGGTCTTTGGTCCAACTCTTTGGTCCGTGGGCCGATGTTCTAACTGCTGAGCAAAATCGGCCTGGGGATATTTTTCTTTGATTTTTTTAGATAGAATGAGAGGGAAGGAGAGAGAGAGAGACAGACAGACACACATGCAGAGAAACATTCATGTGAAAGAGACACATCAATTGGTTGCCTCTTGCACGACCTGGACCTAGGCCAGAGATTGAACTTGCTACTGAGGTTTGTGCCCTTGACCGGAAATTGAACCCATGACTCTTTGGTGCTCAGGATGACACTCTAACTTCTGCATAACATGTTTTTAAAACAGTGGTTGTCTTCCCAGTACCCGAGGCATGCAGCTTTGCTCAAGCATGACTGTTTTTCTTATTGTGGCCCTACTCTCTACAGTTTCCCTCAGTGGGCGTGAGCCCTGTGGCTCCTGCTGGGATTTCCATGCACCAGCTTCTGGCACAACAACCTTGCTTTCTTCTCCATCCTCTCTGACTTGGTCTTCTGAGTTGCCTTGAGTAGCTTCTCCCCTTAAATTGTGATGTCCTAGGGCTCTCTTCTCGCCTTCCCTTTCTCTCTGCCTATTCCGTTCATGTCACGACTTAAGCCCTGCTGCCCAACCCCTTCTGTTTGATTGCTTCCCAGTGTCTCTGACCAGATGTCTTGAGGGTTCTTCAACCTTAGCATGTCCAACAGCTAAGCCCACTTCTTCTCTAACCACCTTCTTTATGGGCGTTCTTCTGTCATTTTCTGACTTGGTTCATATTATCACCATCTGCTATCATCTGTTTTCTAAGCGGAAAACCTTAGAGATATATTTTATTCTATTCTTTCACATCTCATACTCAATTGCTTTTCAACTCTTGTTAATGGACTCTACCTTAGAAATATCTCCCAAGCCCAGTTCCTTCCCTCTGCTCCCGCCTTAGTTCTGGCCCTCCATTCTCGCCTGCACTGTGTGAATGGCCTCTTAATTAGCATTATCTTCTTGAAAATCAAAACTGATTATGTTACCTTGTTTTCAAGAAAACTTCCACAGTTTTGCTCTTGCTGGTAGGATCAAGTCCACGTTCCTGGTCCTGGCAGAGCAGACTCATCACAATTGGTGCCCATCTCTGCCCCTCCAGCTGCACCTCTGCTGGCTTGCTTGGCAGCTTCTGTATCTGACCAGTGCTTCAGCCTTGGGGAGTGCCCACATCCCTAAACAAGGCTCCCCTCTTCCCACATGTTTATCATCTCTCCTCCCCCAGAGTCCTTCTACCTGGCAAGTGCTCATACTTCAGACCCAGCTCAGATGTCACCTCTGAGATGCTGCTCCCTCAGTCAGATATGGCTGGGTCATCCTCTGTGCTCCTGCACACATCTGTGTGTCCATACCTCCTGGTCTATGATTAAACACTTGTCTTCCGGACTCTGATGAGGGTTTTTGAGGGCAGCGATGTGCTTAACACCTGGCACAGTGCCTCGTATGTAGTAAGTGATGAAGAAGTGCCACTCTGTTCTCTCTAGAACCCCTGTGATACACAAAACTCTGGGTGAATTGTGACCTTCTACTCCTTCAAACCATTTTCTCCTGCTCATGTCCAAGCCCTTGGCACTCAGTGCTCTCACGTCAGCCCACAGGGATGCACCCCCGCCCCTCCTAGGAATCTGCGTTTGGGTCAGTCCCTACATGATGCTAGTATACCCTAAAGTTGTGACATTCCAGAGCAGTGTACACTCACTGATGTTCAGAAAGAACACGAGTTCTTTCAGGTGTTTATCATAGTGGGAGAGCTTAAGTAAGATTGGAACATGCTGCAAAGCAAACCCCCTGCCTGGAGAAAGGCGACATAATTAGCACATTACAGGGTAGAGGAATCCCTGAAACAACAAAACAACAAGCAAACCAACCAAACAGCCTGATTTCCACAAGGGCAGCTTTTATTGTCCCTTCATGCACATTAATACTCTGGCACTTTTCCCTGGACAGTGGCTACCCTCCTTGCCCTGGAGCACTTTATATCTAGGATGATTTTAAGTGACCGGATGCTTGTCCTGTGCTTAGCAGTACCTGGCACTTAATGGGCACTCAACCCCTGAGAGTTCCTACCCCTGCTTGAGTCCCTGCTCTGCCTGTGGCCCCTTTTGCTTCCCTCAGTGGGTCTCTTACGCTCTTCTCCTCCCTGTCTCCCTGCAGGCGGGGTCCTCTATGCTGCCACTGTGAAAAACTACCTGGGGACAGAGCCGATTATCTCCCGGGCGGTGGGTCGTGCTGAGGATTGGATCCGAACAGAGACCTTGCCATCCTGGCTTAATGGTGGGGAGAGGGAGAGGGGTGCTTTGGGGACACAGAGGGTGAGTGGGGGCCGTGTGGTCCTAGGCTGTGTCTGTGGGATCTGAGGCCACGGGTCTCCCCAGCTCCAGCCTTTGTCGCAGCCGTGGCCTTGAGGCCAGCCGAGTGGGGAGATGAAGACGGAGACGATGAAATCTACTTCTTCTTTACGGAGATGTCCAGAGCATTTGATTCATATGAGCGCATTCAGGTTCCTCGGGTGGCCCGTGTGTGTGCGGTGAGACTCTGATCCCAGCTGTCTGTTGTCTCCTGTTCTTCCCCGCCTTTGAGTTCCTGTCTTTTCTTCTCTGGGTCTCTGTCTTTGCACCTCTCCTCTGTCTCCTTTCTTCCTCTGTGTTGACTTCTTTTCTGGGAGCCTGAAGAGTGTGGGCAAAGGGTTCTAGCTCCTTTAACCCCACAATTACCTGTCCCTAGGAGGTGGACTAGTGTAGAGATTAAAGGCAGAAACTGTTGACAGACAGACCTGGGCTCCAGGCCCTGTTTGACTACTTACTGCCTCTGCAACTTGGGGCAGGTTCTTTAGCATCCTTACAGATGAGGATATTAATGATGCTTAGCTGTAAGAGTTGTTTGGAGGACTAAATGAGGTAAGTTATGTAAAGCATGTAGTACTTAGTCACTGTCATTGTGACCTTGTCCACCTGTGTGTCATTATCCCCCACGGTTACTCTATCTCCATCACTGCATTTCTATGCGTCTATCTCCCCATCTGTCCATGTCTGGGGGAATCTTGTATTGGTCTCCACATTCCTTCTACACTGTTGGTCTTCTAAAGAGAAATGCCCAATGTTCTTGCCACCCCAGGGGGACCTTGGGGGCCGGAAGACCCTCCAGCAGAGGTGGACGACCTTTCTGAAGGCTGACCTGCTGTGTCCAGGGCCTGAGCATGGCCGGGCCTCCAGTGTCCTGCAGGACATGGCCATTCTTCGACTTGAGACTGGAGTGGGGACCCCCATCTTTTATGGCATCTTTTCCTCCCAGTGGTGAGGGGTCCTGGTGTGGAGGAGAGTTACAGGGTGGGAGACACATGGGGTTGGCATCCTGTCAGTGTTGTCTCTTCTGGAGGGCGTGGCTTCTCCTGGAGCAGGCTGCACAACTCCCATGCATTTCTTATGCGTCATCTCATTTGACGGGGTGAATTGTTGTCCCCTAGTGCTCTTCAGATATCTGGCTCCAACCTGTGACTCTTCTAGGGAGGGTGCTGCCATCTCTGCTGTCTGTGCCTTCCAACCACAAGACATTCAGACAGTGCTGAATGGTCCCTTCAGAGAGCTGAAACATGACTGCAACAGGGGATTGCCTGTCCTGGACAATGACGTACCTCAGCCCAGACCTGGAGAGGTAAGGGGTCTGAGGTAGCCCTTCACTCCATGCCAGAATTGCCTCATTAGAGCAAGAGCCCAACTAAGCATCACGGATACTTCCTGGCCCCGTGAAACTTTGTCATCCATCCTGTGTTTTCTCTAGTGCATCACCAATAACATGAAACTCCAGCAGTTTGGTTCATCACTCTCCCTGCCTGACCGTGTGCTCACCTTCGTCCGGGACCACCCCCTCATGGACGGGCCAGTGTTACCAGCTGATGGCCACCCCCTACTGGTCACTACTGATACAGTCTATCTCAGAGTCGTGGCCCACAGGGTGGCCAGCCTCTCAGGGAAAGAGTATGATGTGCTCTACCTGGGGACAGGTATGTTTAGTAGCCAAGTACATTGCCCATCCTGTGTACACATGCTCTTGTCAAAGAGAATGTCCCTTACAGGTGTTAGAGTCCCATTCACAGGTACAATATGTCATTATGTCTTGCCCCTTGCCTGCTTCCTAGAGGATGGACACCTCCACCGAGCTGTGCGGATTGGAGCGAAGCTCAGTGTCCTTGAGGATCTGGCCTTGTTCCCAGGGCCACAGCCAATTGAGAATATGAAATTATATCAAGTAAGTTGTAGATTTGGGGGGATCTGGTGGGGAGACATCTGAGCCAGCTTGTGACCCTGAAGTCTGGGAGATGCAGCTATTACTCTTCCTCACTTTCTGTAGCGCTGGCTCCTGGTTGGCTCCCAAACTGAGGTGACGCAAGTGAACACAATCAACTGTGGGCGTCTCCAGAGCTGCTCAGAGTGCATCCTGGCCCAAGACCCTGCCTGTGCCTGGAGCTTCCGGCTAGATGCATGTGTGGCCCATGCTGGGGAGCATGGAGGGTGAGTGTGACTGCCCTGGCCTCTTGCTAGCTGTCACAGGGCTCTGATCTATCCATATATCTGTCTGTCTCTTAAAAAATTTTTTTTCTTTTCTTTATCAATTAGAGAGAGGTAGGAAGGGAGAGGGAGAAAAGGAGAGGGAGAGAGAAACATCAATGAGAGAGAACATTGATTGGCTGCCACAATGGGGATTTGGCCCACAACCTGGGCATGTGCCTTGACCAGGAATTGAACTGGCAACCTCGTGGTGCATGGGTTGATGCTCAACCACTGAGCCACACTGACTGGGGCTGTTTCTCGTCTGTTAATGCTACCCTGTGTGTGTGTGTGTGTGTGTGTGTTCTTTTAGTGTCCTTTGTGTGTTTGTCAGTCCCTACTAACTTATCTGTTTGTCTCATCAATGTCCTTGCCCCTGTGCTGGACTTGCCTGGACCATGTGACTGACTTCCATGCTGCCATACACTTCTCAGTTTCCATTTTATAAGACCTCTCAGAAGTGTTTTCACATTGACCACTTCCTCCTTCCTTCCTTGAAGCACTCTTTCCTCTTGCTGTCTATGACTCTGCATTCTCCTGGTGTTCCTCCCTGTCTCACCAGCCTGTCTTCCTTACTCATTCCTTTCCCATCCAACTTCTGAATGTTGATATTTCTCAGGGTTTAGTCCTTCTGTTTACATTTCTACATACTCTCTAGGTGGTTTTATTTCCATTATTTTCAACACCGTCTGAGTACTGTTGATAACTACCGATGTATCTATAGTTGAGTTACAGAATTCCCTATCTAACTGCCTTGCTGATATTCCTCTTGGATGCTTCACAAACCACTCATATTTAAAGTCTTATTATGCACTGTTGTTTCCTCATTCTTTCCTGTGGTCCTCTGGTTTTCCTCATCTCAGAAAAGGAACTTCCATTCATTCAGTTGCTCAAGCCAGAAATTGCCCATGCTGTATTGCAATTTGTACTGACTCTAGTTCCATCTACCACATCCTCAGTCCACAGACACTTCTCTCCTTCTCTACTGCTATTACTGTGGTCCTAACCATCATCACTTCTTAACTGGAATACTCAACCTCTAAACTGGTCTCCATTTGGGGACCCCACCATCCATTTTCCACTCAGAGCTAGCTTAAAATCATATGCCACATTGAAGCATTTCACTATATCATATTTATCTAAAGTATTTCAGTATTTATCTCTATCAGATAAAGACTCTCTTAAGAACATTTTATTATAGGAAAATTCAAATATTCAAAAAATAGAATAGTGTAATGAATTTCCATATATCTGTTCGTCAGCTTCAACGACCATCAGCTCCTGGCCAATCTTGCTTCATCACTACCTTCACATACTCCCGATTATTATTTTTATTGTTTTTAAACATGCTTTTATTGATTTGTAGAGTGAGAAGAAGGGAGAGGGAGGGGGAGAGAGAGAAATATCAATGAAAAAATCATTGGTTGGTTGCCTCCTGTATACCCCTTATTGGGGATTGAGCCCACAACCCGGGCACGTGCCCTGAGTGGAAATCAAACCAGTGACCTCTTGGTGCATGGGATGACACTCAACCAACTGAGCCACACTGGCCAGAGCACCTGATTATTTTAAAGCAAATCTCAGACAGTATATTATTTCATCCATAAATCTTTTTTTGTGTATCTCTAACACAGAAGGGGTTTAAGAAAATGTAACCATATTATCAGTATCATACCAAAAACTCAATTTCTTAATATCATCAAATATCCAGTCAGTGTTCTGGTTTTTCCCAATTGCATATGTTTGAAAATAGTTTGCTTAAGTCAGGATCCAAATAATGTTCATCAGTTATAATTGGTTGATAAGTTTCTTAAGTCTTTTAATCTTTAGTTGAGATTCTCTTCAAATGAGTAATTTTTTTTTATCCTCAAGGACATTTTTTGATATTTTGTTCAGATAGAGTGGGAGGGAGAGAGAGAGAGAGAGAGAGACATCGACGTGAAAGGGACACATCGAGTGGTTGCCACCCGCACGACCCAACCAGGGCCGGGGACAAACTGCAACCAAGGTACATGCCCTTAGCGGGAACTGAACCCCAGTCTCTCTGGACCGCAGGCCGACGCTCTAACCGCTGAGCCAAACCGGCCAGGGAAAAATGAGTAATTTTTACTTAATTGCTTGGAAAGTATTTTTTCAGACTGATTTTGTGATTTCCTATTTCAAAGCCCAGTTAATCTGTACATGTTACTGAACTCCAAACTTACAAATATTTTAGAAATAAAAGTATTTGTCTTTGGGAATCATTTTTTGGTTAAGAATCTGGTATTTAAGTTTCTCTTGGGAGAACTTTGAAACATCTCAGGCAAAAGCAAATGCTTATTCTTTCCTTTATTGTTTTAATATTCATTAAAATAAGAATTTCATTGGTCTTGGATATCCTGTGTACTTGAGGCTTGGGGTCTCCTCAACATATACATGTGGTGGTGGGGGGTGGGGGTATGTGTATATGCCAGTGTAATACAAGAAATTACCAAGTTGGTACTTCTGTACCCTCTACCCTCCATTCCTCAATTCATACAAAGGAGAAAACATAGATCATGAAGTTCCTGTGGCCACAGCTGCACATATGGCCTTTCTGTGTTCCCCACTGTCAGCTAGACTAAGCAAACTTGGTTTTACCCAGGACACTTTAATGTATTCATACCGGTCTCATAGCTCATGTCAGGGGCCTAGATTCATGTTGAAGGAGTTCACATTCAAACCAAGTCTACCTTTGGTTGAAGCTTTGGTGTGTTCCACCTGGTCTTCACTGACAGTCCACTAGGGGTCTCACTGGCCTCCCTTCTTCTGGGAGTGTTGCCAGGAAGTTCAGAGTGAGCAGTCTCTCGCTGTCCATTTGTCAGACACAGTCCACTGAAATCCTGAAAGTACCAGGATTGTGTTATTTGAAACAGATCTGTTAGAGGCCAGTAGGTACCAACAGTTGTTGAAGAAAGAGTTCTTACACAGAGATGAGCAGCTTTATGAAACAGTCATCTCACTGATGCTCACAGAATTTTGATTAACTTTTATAGAGAAGTTTTCCCTTTCTCTTAACAGAAAAAAACAAACAAACAAACAACAGGACCACCCTGTAGTTTTAATATTTTTTCCCAGAGAAATCTTGTGGTGTGGATAGTCAGCTACATTTATTGGAAGGTTTCCATGTTTCTTTTAAATCACACCACTAACCATCTTTCCTAGCGCAGATTTAATTTTGTATGGTCTGCTAGAATTTCACACGGCAAACATCATGAGGAGTATAAGAGGTATTAGGGGATATTTTCCTGATCAGCATGTTGACTGATAATTCCAGGAGTGATTTATGAGATAATGGGAGATGTAACAAGTGAGTGAATGTTCAATGATACTGAGGAGGGTAGAAGGGAAAGTTGACACTGGATTTACCAAATATTCTCTTCTTTGTAGGCTGGTCCAAGACATAGAGTCAGCGGATGTCTCCTCTTTATGTCCTAAAGAGCCCGGAGGTCTGTCTGGTTTAGGGAAATGTGGGTGGAAAGGGGCTAGAAAATTGTCCATTGTGGACCCACTTTAAAACTTGGACCCTGAAAGATGTGGCAGCCAGTGACCCAGGGCCTTACCCTTTATGGGAATCCCCTTTTAGCTTTGCTCCTATGGCCCCTTCTCAAATCTGATATCCTCCCCCCCTTTCTCTCCATCACACCCCCAGGCTATAGCCTCATGACCTTTTGTGCCTTTGCTGTTTCTCTGCAGAACACCCAGTAGTGTTTGAAGTTCCTGTGGCAACAGCTGCACATGTGATCTTGCCATGTTCCCCAAGCTCAGCCTGGGCTTCCTGTGTGTGGCACCAACCCAGTGGAGTGACTGCTCTTACCTCTCGGCGGGATGGTCTAGAGGTGGTGGTAACCCCAGGGGCCATGGGCGCTTATGCTTGCGAATGTCAGGAGGGTGGGGCAGCCCGCGTGGTAGCTGCTTACAGTTTGGTATGGGGCAGCCAGCAGGCCCCCTCAAGCCGGGCCCACACAGTGGGGGCTGGACTGGCTGGCTTCTTCCTGGGGGTTCTTGCAGCATCCCTAACTCTTCTCCTGATTGGTCGACGTCAGCAGCGGCGGCGACAGAGGGAACTTCTGGCTAGAGACAAGGTGGGCTTAGACCTGGGGGCACCACCATCTGGGACCACAAGCTACAGCCAGGACCCTCCCTCTCCTTCTCCTGAAGATGAGCGGCTGCCCCTGGCTCTCGGCAAGAGGGGCAGTGGCTTTGGTGGCTTCCCTCCACCCTTCCTGCTTGATCCTTGCCCGAGCCCAGCCCACATTCGGTTAACTGGGGCCCCTCTGGCCACATGTGATGAAACATCCATCTAGGGCTAGGCAAATGACCACTAGAGCATGAGTGACCTTTGGAATGGATCGACCATTGAGATGTTGGGGTCACAGGGCCTGGAAGACTGTCATGGCTTCTGCATTCTCTTTGGCCTTTGAGTGTCTGCCCTCTCTGGGCTGGATGGGTTCTGGGCCAGGCCTTTGTCTGAGTCCTTATTCCTGATTCCCATGAGAGATCATAACTTGTCTCTGCGGTGAATCAGGACTTTCTCCACACTTGTTCTCTGAACCCCTGTGACCCCTGCAGTTTGGACCTGCTATTTGGGCCTGTGAATTTGGGGGGGGGCATAGGACATAACTATGACTTTGCCTTCTAGTTGGACCCTTGCCAGAAGGAGGAACTGTGGAGAAGGTTGGGGCTAATGTGCACTGAGTCCTTGGGGTGGTTTTGCTGATTCTCCCAGTTAGTCTAATTGTCTGTGGGGAGTGCATGAACCCCATGCTACAACATGGAAACTCTGCCTTGAAATTTCCCTCCATCCCAGTTTTCCTTCTCCCATGAAAGAACATGTGTATATATGAGTGTTCATAGGTGACCTGGCTACATGTGCATGAATGACTGAGCCAGTGCTCAGGTGTATCCATCAAGGGTAAGGAAGGGAAGGCTGGGATGGGGGCATTGCCTGCAGAACTTCAGACGCTGTAGTCAGCGAAGGAATGGCTTTCCTTTCTAAAAGAAAATAAACAACTGCCCGGCCCCTCCCACCACCATCGTTTCTCACAACCCTTCTTGTGAGTTGAGAAAATTCCCAAAGTGGCCTTCTGGGTGGGAAAGGCAGCAGTACATGTGACCCCATCTTCTCATTTGTTCTTGCCTCCTGGCTGTCACCACTGCCATGCACGGCCGCTCTTCCTCTGGCTGCACTGTAGGCTGGGCCCCCTTTCCTTGGCTCCCATTAAAAATAAATTTCACAGCACTCTAAATATTAGGGACAGTCAAAGGGGAACAATCATAGGAAATACAAGCAGTATAAATATAGGTTTGTATCAGTGACTTTACTCAGGTTGACACTCTTGCCCTAAAGCAGTTAGTTCTCCAGTGGGGGTCCAGGGACTCCCTGAAATCGTATGCAAAATGTCGTCTGTACATGTGTGTCTGTGTTTTTCTTGGGGGGGAGGTTTTATGGCTTTCATCAGATTCTCAAGGCCTTAACAAAGTTAAAGGACCACTGCCCCAAAGTCACCACACCGTTTCCCAGCCCCACCTGCCCTGTGGCCAGCCCCTGGACTTGCAGCTGCTGGATGCTGGCTCATTTCTCCAGTCCCTGGAAACTGGGCATATCTGAAGACACTATCAACCCTCACCAAACTTAAAGACTTCTTCCTGCTTCACAACTCGCAGATGCTTTAGGCTACTCCTGCTCACTTCTGGTCTTGGCCTGTGAATGTGCCTCCTTCATCCCTGGTGAGGGGACCCTCACCCCTTGAGCTTCAGTGAATGATACAGTCCTTCCCAGTTGAAGTTTTCAGCTCTACTTTCCTTGGAAGCAGTCTGTGAATTACCCAAAAGAGTCCCCTTGGGTTTGGACTTCTCAATGGCTATGCCCTAACAAGCATATGATCAGCAAGTAATCTAACCTAGGAAAATTGGTTTACTCGTCTGTAAACTGGGGATAATAATACCTACCTCAAGGTTGCTACAAGGATTAAATGAGAAAACATGTAAACAATAAAGCACTATCTATACCAGTAAAAGTGGTTGTTGTGTAAAAATTGGACTATTATATCATAATCATATAGCTTAACCAAATGATAACCATGACATATGCAATCACTTTAAGCCCCATTTGGTGGAAGGATGGTCATTGCCTCACAGACATCCTGTCTTGGGTCATCTCTGGCCAGATCTTAGCTGCCAGAATCTAAGGCTTGTGGGATTATATATTTTTTATAATCCTCAGATGTGTCTGACCTTAGTGACCTTATTAGTCCTTCTCTGTGGGAATGAAGGAAGGTGTTCTTGGGTTTGTCCTCACTTCATTCTATCTCTCAAGTTATGGGTTAGTTCCCTTTGCGGGGAGGAAAGGAGATGGGAAGATGTCAGAGGGGCCTGGGGTCTCCCTGAGGAGGGAAGGGATCAGATCATAGTGGATTTGGGATTCGGTTCTTAAACAGTGGCTCTGGTTGGAGGAAAATGGGATGAGGAATGTAGGAAAAATGAGGGAGGATGGAAATATGTAGAGAGGAAAACCACCTCTCAGTTGGAAAGTTTAAGCCCCAGGAATGAGTGAGAGCTCAGGAATGTGAAGCCAACTAGAGAAATAGGGTGAGTAACGAATTGCATTATCTTTGGGCTGGGGGTAGGGTTGTGGGAAGGGAGAGAATCTGTAAGTAAGGGAGCCGAAGGAGGGTGCAGACTTCCTGCAGGGACAATTGTGAGGATTCTGGCAGCCAGAGACCTGCCTGGCTCCACACATAAGAGCAACCAGGGAGAGGGGTGGAGATGGGGCTTGTGCCTCACTTTCTGGCCCTCACTCTTAAATTCCCCTCTGTTTTTGGCTCTGGTCCCTGGTCCCTAACGGTCACTCTCAGCTTGTCACTCCTAACCAGTGGTCTGCTGCTACCCATGTGGTCTTACTGAAAGTAGAGCCAGAAAGAGATGCTCACAATTGGTTCTTATGAGCCAAGTGAGCTCTAGCACAGCACTGGCTTCAACCCAAGGGGGCCAGTGCACATCCTTTCCCTGGAGACCCCCAGCACCCCCTTACCCCAGCAGCCCACAAGTTCACTGGTGGCCTCAGTCACGGCAAGAAAGTGTCCTTTTTTTTTTTTTTTTTTTTTTTTACCCTCAACTGAGGACATTTTTGCATTTATCTTCAAATAGAGCGGGAGGGAGAGAGGGAGGAAGAGAGAGAAATATTGACCTGAGAGAGACACATCGAGTGGTTGCCACCCACACGACCCCAACCGGGGCCGGGGACAAACTGCAATGGAGGCACATGCCCTTAGTGGAAACCGAACCCGGGTCTCTCTGGACTGTGGGCCGATGCTCTAACTGCTGAGCCAAACTCAGCAGGGTCAGGGTGAAAGTGTCCTTTTGATATCTGCTGGGCCCTGACTGTCCTGGCTATGCTTCAACAGACTGTACACAGGTCCTACCTGTCTCAAGGATGTGGGGATAGGACTTGTTTTTTTTGGTTGTAGCCAAGGCAAAGTTGAACATTTTAAAGATGGTTTTTACCACCTTGAGGAAAAACTAGCAATAAAAGCACAAGAAATTTTTCTGCAGTTTTTAAGTTCTCCCGGGTGGGCCCCAGGACAGACCTCTCTGGGACATGGAGACATGGCAGTTTGTGTGACCAATAGCAGCAGGTGTGGTTCCAAAGAGGTCCATCTGGACTGATGTCAAACACCAGGTCCTGACTGAGTGGGGGAAGAGCAAGCAACAGAGAAGGATCTAGCTTCCTAAGGATGTTAGATGGGGCCAGGGGTAGTTGGAAGAGCCAAGGTAAGGGATCAGGTTCAGAGGGCTGCTCCAGGCCCTGTGGAGAAATATGTGCAAGCTGTCCCGCTAGGGTGGCTCCGTTGGTTGGAGTATCATCCTGTACACCAAAAGGTTGCAGGTTCGATTCCCTGTTGGGGCCTACAGGAGGCAACTGATCGATGTTTTTCTCTCTCCCATCTTCTCTGTTTAAAAAACAATGAAAACATATCCTCAAGTGAGGATTAAAAATAAAATAAAGTACAAGCCAGGAACTCTCTTCCTATCTTTTGCCTTGGTTCCCAGCCAATGGGACAGGGGTTTAGGGCTACAGATGACTCTTGGACAGGCCCACTGGTGGGTGTGGCACTCCTCATGTATGTCAGAGCTGGCACCCCAAGACTTGGCAGTGCTGGACCACAGGCCAAAGACTTTCACCACCTGCAGCTGGAACCATGGTTGGGGCAGGAGGAGTCAGCAACTGATGCTGGGTCCAAAGACCAACATCTCACCCTCAGGTTAAAGCAAGTCCTTTGAGTTGAGGCTGGCAATAAATCCTTCCAGGTCCCCAGTGTGGCTCAGTGGTTAGAGTGTCAACATGTAAACCAAAGGGTCATGGGTTCGATTCTCGGTCAAGGGCATGTACTTGGGTTGCAGGTTTGATCCCCAGCCCCAGTTGGGGTGCATGTTGGAGGCAACCATTCGATGTGCTTCTCTCACATTCTCTCTCTTTTCCCCTCCCTCCCTCCCACCCTCTCTAAAAATCAATAAAAAAATATCCTCTGATGAGGATTAACACCACCACCACCAACAAATCCAGGACTGAGGTTCACTCTAGGAGGGGTAAGTGTTGAGGAAGCTGATTAGATCTGGTCAGAGGCTGAGGCAGAGAACTTATGGGAAAAGCTCATAGGGCACACATTATATAGGTCAAGTGAGGGGTTTGAATTAGCCTCAGATGGAGTTACTGGAATTTTCCCCTGCAAGCCCAAGAATGCAAACACTCAGCACACATTTTCAGGACTCTCCTTTCAAGACATGCTTAATCATCTATGACAGGTAAGCTCCTGTTCCTTCCTCTATAAGGAGTGAGGAGGCGGAAGAGGGCTCGGCATCACAGCGAGCCCTGGAGTTCTCCTATTTCACAGAACATGGTATCTGCTAAGGCTATGCTGTGCTGTGATGGATCAAGAAAAAACAAGACCACTTCATAGCTGTGTCTGCACAAAGACAAAATGGAACATTGTCCAAACCATAAAAATGACCAACCAAGCATCCACTGTCCCAGCTAATAGGAGTAGCTGCTGCTGCTTAACCAATTCTTCACCAGATCCAGCATCCTGCTAGTCGCCCCTCCTTCTGGATGAGATGTAGTAAGGCACTCAATTCCTGGCAACACCCCATCCAGGTTTGCTTCCTGCAAACCACCTAGTGCAAGCCTGGGTGCTCTAAGTTCTTTCTAACAGCATCTTCCTGAAATGCCCCACAGTTCCCAACACGTCTGTAATATATATTTCCACTGTCATCAAATGTGCAGAGTAATACACACAAAGCTGTTAGCAATGGTTATGCCTGATGAAGAATTTTCACTACTTTTTAAAAAACAATATGCATGGAGAGAGAGAGAGAAGAAGGAGGAGGAGGAGGAGAAGGAGAAGAAGGGAGAAAAATGGAGATAGAGAGATGATAACAATGACGGTGATAGTGGCTCTAAACTAAGTGTTAAGTGTCAATAGTGATGTTATTGGACAATATTTTCTACAATTGATATGTATTACATTTGAATATGAAAAATAGAAGTTATTTTTAAATGTGTGAAAATAGTGATTCTCCAAGGAAAATACTCTATGACCGTTTTTAAGTTTTATTTTTGCCATGGTGTCTTGTGCCAACATTGTACACAAGTCATAGCTGATTGGAAATCTTCCGGTTTTCCAGGTTGGTTGCAGTACACTTAGGGTGCAATAGGTGTCGCTCGTTCCTCGAGAATGGCATATTGCTAAAGCTGGCAAGAAGCCCTCTCTGGGCAGTGCCCAATTCTAAATCAATGATCTATCTGCAAGATATACCTAATCTCTAATCTTTGAGTTATGTACTTGTAATTTTACAT